ACTCACATTGTTTAGCTTGCATACAAGGAAATAAGTATCACATTTCCTGCTTAGACTGAAATTAACAACTATTTGCCTTATCTTGAAGTGCCACATGGTTCCTGAAATGGGGACAATTTCCCTCTCGTCATTTCCTCAGCTAAGGAGTGAATTGACTTAGAACAATACCAAATCTCCTCCTTTTCTGAAGCTAGCTACTGCATGCAAAGTCATCTGAGAGGAGGGTTCCTTCCTCTGCCCCACAGCAATTCCCCTCATCCTGCCTGCCTTAAACATTCCAAAACACCTATTGCCTTCATTGGGAATTGTGGCTATACCATGGAGGCTGGATTGGGGGGCCTTATTAAATATGCTTTCCTAAGTGGCTCATGACAATGTTTTTACATTACCCTCCATTATTCCTCAACTAGCATGAAAGGTTAGACCTGACAATGTGATCATTTATATGAATATTTCTAATTTATATACTTCCCAGTTCCTCTGTTAATTTAAGGTGGATATGAGGAGGAAAGAGATTGTTTTCTGGAGTATGGACCATCTTTGTGTTTTGAACACTGCCTAAAGTAACTAGATGTCACGATTTGTATTGGACAGTCCTGAATTTGGGGCTTTGTCTTTTATAGGTGCCTATTACCCCTGTCCTGTTCCGATTTTTTCACCCTTGCTATTCTGATCACCCTAACACTGTTGAGTGTGTTGAGTTTCTAATTCCTGCTTCAGGGGTATACAGGACTGCAAAATAAATTATAAATCATAATATTACACCTTTTAAATCCCAAAATATAACCAAGAGACTTAATGGAATATACATTGTTTATACATACATTTTTATATGTACAATGTAGAAGGAGCAGGAGAATACAAATGACCATATATCCTTGTGAAAACATTGCAGGTCATAGCACAAAAGCTCTCCTTAAATGCACCTGCTGAGTAGTGATAAACCTGATCTATAAAATTCTGGTGCAGATTTCAGAACTCTTTTCTCTTTCAGGGTTTTGTGGTGCTTAGTTCAGCCCCTCATAGACAATGGGATCAATTACATTATCCATGTCTGGCTTTGAATTTCAACATCCTAAAATTTAGGGATACTTAGACCTGAGGATTTAGTTGTGAACAAATGTTACTGATGATTCTAAACCCTGGTGTTACACCAAGCTAAAATGTATTAAAGAAAGAAAAATGGCTAGTTAGTGAAAAACCAATGACTGGACCTTACAGAACAAGAACTGGACATCCATATGGATACTGCAAACATCTACTTGTATGTGAGTATAAAAAAAGGTCAGTAGAACATAAATCCTCATGCATCATAACATAAATCAAGCACTGGAAAGAAATGGCTGGGAAGAAAGTTTATGTTCAGGTTATTCTATTATAGGATTTTTTCCCCCTTCTTCTGAAGCATCATGTATAGGTCACAGTCAGACAGAATACCAGACTATTTAGTCCACCTCTTTGACCAGAATAGTAATTCCTATTACTGTATATCTTTTGTGTTAAACACTACTAAAAATAAAACAATGGTGTAAGTTTTAAATGTCCTGATTATATGTTTCTAGTGTGATTAGATGCTGCATTTCTTCCGCTGGCCCATCTTGGGATACTGTCTCACATTGAGAACTACATTACTCTGCAAATTGGTACAGTATTATTGTAAACAAGACTACAAAAATACTATCTAGCTTGAGTAAGGATGGGTTAAATCTGGCCCATTGACTTTGGACAGTGAATTGCCAAATTCATTGCTGGTAAATGAGGACATAAAACCACTGAAATGAATGAAATCATCCACCCCTCAAAAAAAGGGAACTAAATTTTGTCCTTAAACTTTTTGACATTGTCAACAACGTAAAAAGTCATTCTGATTCACACCAATGTAATTAGAAGCAGACATTGTCTCCATTTATAAATTAATGTTGTAAATTAGTGTGTTTATTATAAATCAGTCTGCCTTGGTATGTACTGGTATATTAACTAATTTTGAAAACTAGACCTCATTTTAATTAGCACTTTTCAGGGATTATTGCACTGTATGTATATATGTTGAAGTGTTTTGAAAGAGCTTGAAAGCTTTTGTTTTCAATTCAAGAGCATATAAAGCTTGCTGAAAGAATGTAAGAGACTACGTTTGAGTATGTGCAGTAACTCTATTCTACTCTTTCCATCTGGAGTCTCTGATTTAGACTGGGATTTCCTGTCATTGTTTCAACTTTCAGTCATCTCAGATTTGTCCTTGGTTCATTTACTGTTGTTTAGAGGCAATAATAGTTTTCCTTAACTAGGGATGGAAAAATGTTTCCATCTCATAATGGCCTATTTATTTAAAGGGATAGTCAAAATATGGCAAATGACAAAGAAAATATCACTGAATATAAAAACCACTGAAGATGCTGAGAACAGAAGAGGCAGAGAAGATGAACTCTCTCCCTTCTTGTCAGTCCAGCAGTCCATTTTCTCTATTAAATTGTGTAACATCTGCTGCAATAGTTCTAAATTGTTGAACGATTTTTAAAGGACTGGCATATATTGCACTATAATCACAAAAATATTGATTAGCAATGTTATTTACACATGGTAAAATAGTAATTGATGTGTGAACATAAGAATAGCAATATTAGGTCAGACCAATGGTCCATTTATCCCGGTGTCCTTTTTCTGACCATGGCCAAGAAACTTAGATAATCTGAAATTGCCTCGTTCTGTATCCCCCGTCCTTCAATCCCATCTTTTTATAGTTGGTGGTTTAGGGACATCTTGAGTATAGATTTGCAACCCTGATCATCTTGGCTAATAGTGCATCCTCCATGAACTTGTCCTGTTCTTATTTTGGACCCAGTTATACTTTTAACCTTCATAACATTCTCTGGCAATGTGTTCCACAGCTTAACTGTGCATTGTATGAATAATTATTTCCTCATGTTAATTTTAAACAACATTTCAGTTTTTTAATGTCTAACATCACATCATATTCTAATGAGGATAGTGGACTGGTCAATGTGGAATGACAATACATCAATATGACTGCAATCAGTGTTATGAAGAA